AGGCAGAAGGGGTGGGTATTTGTTACAGTTTCTTAAACTGCAGGCTCAGAGGCCTGTAGCCGCAGGCGGGGAATGTTGGTTTCCTCCAACACTGAGGCAAGCAAGCCTCATTTTAGTTTCAAGCTGCCTGGCTGCCAGCTGCCATCTTGGCTGACAGTTAATTTGCATATCTCGCTGATTAGCCAATGAAAAGGGTAGCAGTCGTAAGCCAATTACCATGTTTCTCTTTTATTAGTGTAGACTAGAGGCCTGGTGCACAAAATTCATGCACCCAAGGGGGGTGGGGGGTCGCTCAGCCCGGATTGCGAGAGGGTGCAGGCCAGGTCGAGGGACCCCTCCGGTGCACGATCGGGGCCGGGAGGGATGCAGGAGGTTAGCCAGCTGGGGAGGGACCACAGAAGGCCTCCAGGGCATGTCCAGCCCTCTTGCCCAGTCCTGATTGGCTGGACCCCAGCAGCAAGGTAACCTACAGGTGGGGAGAGAAACATCGATCAGCTGCCTCCTGCACACCCCCTACTGGGGGTGTGCCCGCAACCAAGGTACGTGCCCTTGACTGGAATCTAACCTGGGACCCTTCAGTCCACAGGCTGATGCTCTAGCCACTGAGCAAAACTGGTCAGGGCAGCATATTATGCTTTGATTGGTTGAATGGCTAACTGGATGACTGGACACTTAGCATATTAAGCTTTTATTATATAGGGTAGATGAATCAGGGCCTCTATTCCATCTGTCTTTAAGAGAGTCCTGGATGCTATGAGGTGACACTGATCCTGAGGAAGTGACAGTCCATGGGGGAGGAGGAAGCACATTCCCTGTCATTGCAGACCAGCAAACTTCTGAGGAAGGTGAGAAGAGGCATTGTGAGAGCTCTCACCCAGTTCTCAGGCTTTACTCGCCCAGTTACACTGCCTCTGGGGCCCTTGTCATCCCCTAGGGACTGGGAAGCAATTCCTTTCTGAATTAGTTGAAGGCCTTGTTCATCCTCCTGCCTCAGGCCAGTGCCTGTTCTCCCTGAAGTGTCTCTCAGAACTGAAGCTTCACTCCTGGCCAATAGGAGCCAACAAACCTAATCCTGGGTCCTAGGAACTGCCTCCCTGTTAGGTCCAATCAAATAATTGAATCAACATCTCCTCCCCTGGGAGCTGACCTTTAGGCCACTTCACAGCCCACATCCCTTTTCTCTTAGACCACATTCCACTTGTTAAGACCACATTCCATTTCTAAGACCATTATCCACCCATCCCCACCCCCACCTTCCAGGATCCTGACCTGCCCACAGAATTCTCTGCCTAGAGAAAGCCTGCCTAGAGGCTTTCAAATTTCTGACTCCCTGTCTCTGGGTGCTGGCACCATTTGGGGGCTCAGCCCATCTGGTTTTCCAGATGACCTAATAATGAATAATTCTTTACTACTTTTGGCCTCTTGAGTTCCTCCTTTGGCGATCCTAACGCTCCCTAGTCAGAGTCCTGTTCCCAGTTTTCTCCCCTGCCTCATTATCTGATCCACAGCCTCTGGGAACCCTGCTGATGGGGCTCCTTGAGTCATCAACATCTAACTACCCAGGCTACTTGTGAAGAAGACAA